CCATCCTGAATCCGTGTTGTGCCGGTGTCAGAAGTTCTTTCGATTGCAACAGATGTATTAGACGCTTTTTTACTATCTTCTCGATCACTTTGGCCAAAACCGGTGTAAGACAATTGGCCTGTAGTTATCCACCCTACTGGGGTCGCCACCTTTCGGGATCGGCCTCACCTCCGAGCGCTTCCAGTCGTTTGGCAATGAGCCCACATACAACGATTTGTTGAATAGATCCGTAACAGCAGGCGAGATAATGGCAGCTAGTGATTTGATAATTAGCGGATGAAGCCCGTCAGGCCCTGCAGGCTTGGTACCGTCAAGGTTCACAAGTAGCAGGCGCCCCTCGTCGACATCACAAACCAAACTGTTGAGTTCTACAGGAATGTTACTCGCTGAGATGGGTATGGACGCCGCGTCGTTTGCAAACACGGAAGCAAAGTGAGCGGCCAGTGCGGACGCGCGATCGGAACAGGAAGTTAGCAGGTGTCCGTCCGCGTCTTCCAGACACGATACGTCACCTTTTGGCTTCAAACGGCGTTTCACGTAAGCAAAGATCTTCTTTGGGGCCATCCTCGCGTCAGTTGCAAGCTTTTCTTCGAACTTCCGGCGCTTTATCAATTTCACTTTGTTGCAAATATTTCGCTGTCTTTTATATGCTTCGTAATCAGTGGCGGAGCCAGAGAGGCGAAATGCGTCCCACATTCTTCGCCGAAACCGAGCCAGCCTACCATATTCCTTGTCGAGCCAGTGTGGTTTGATTGGTCCGACTTTCTGAAATTTCAACGGCACAAACTGAGAACAAAGCGAAGCCAATCCTTCCTTTATTACTGTCCAACCGTCATCCACAGATGTAACATGCGGTAGAGACCAATCCATTTGGCTCGCTGCCCGATTTAATCCATCGAAATCAGTTTTCCAGTAGTTGTAAGCTGGTTCCACCGGAGATACACTCAGCAAGTTCAGTTCCATAGTGGCTATCAGCACGGAATGGTCGCTTTTAGCTAGGGGCTCCTGGATTCGTATGTCATGCAACCGTTGTACTCAATTTGTCACCATCAAATCAAGGCACGATGGGTTCGAACGCGCCGTCATGCGCGTAGGTTGGTATATGTGTTGCGATGCCCCAGTTTCAAGCAACAAAACAACAAACTTTGATTCGACTTCAGAATACCCGGGCAGGAGTTGGATTTCAGGCCATTGAATGTGGGGACAATTGAAGTCACCCATGAGTAGAAAACATGGACGACTCATGTTGTTCCGAAGATGAGGTAGCCAATCTAAAGAGCGGTTCAGAGGGCTACGGTAGAATGCACCTACTGTCAGCTTGCCGCGCCTGAGGTTGATCGAGCACCATACCTGTTCACACAGTCCATCTTCACTTCGGTACACGCTTACAAGCCTCCCACGCAGGGAAGACCGTATATAAAGTAAGACACCACCAGGAGGATTTGATATTCTATCGCAGCGAAAGCATAAGTAGCCACTGAGATCGACTTCCTCTGCCATTACCGCAGAAGTTAGCCATGTCTCCGCCAGTCCTACGACGTCTGGTCGCTCAGAGGCAACGAAGCGACACAGCTCATCCCGTTTGTTCATAAGTCTACAGATGTTTGTGAATGCAGCACGGAGGTCCTGAGAGGCACCGCGGGATGTGCCTGGAGGTTGATCAACCGACTGATACGGGTTCGTGCACCCTTCTTGATCATTCGAAAATTTACGATGTGCAGATCAGTTTCGCCTTCTTCTGTACGGCGTTTAAGCTCAAGGACCGCAGTCTTCAAGCGGTTCCTCTCTTCGGGTTTCAAGTCTCGGCGGATGTGAACCCTGGTGCCTTTAAACCTGAAGAGACGAGAGAGAATGAGTTTTGGCGTGTTGTGGTCAGCAAAGGTGATTCTTAAAGGTCGACATGATTGGTTAGTATGCTGACCAAGTCGGACTACTTGTTTTATCGTTACGCTGCCTTCACCCACATCCAACAGTTTATCAACGAGCCCCTGAAGGAACTCAACATCGTGATCATAACGTTTCTGAGTGTTTTCATCTTTTGACTCTGGTGCATGGAACACCATGAGATTATAACGCCTCAGAGAGATCGGTGACGAACTTGAAGCAGCAGGAGTGGAGGGGCTTGTCGTTTTGGACGGTCGTCTATCGTTAGGGGGAAGCTGAAAGTTGTGTGAACTTTTGCGTTTTTGAATGATCCATTTATCTTCAGTGTTCAGAGATTCACAGGTATGCGCTGAAAGATTAGGGGGCTCCGACTCTGAGTCGTCAATCTGTGGGGAACATTGGTTGTGAGAATCGGTAGGGGTAGAAGACGCTGGCGGTGGTGCAGATCGTGGAGTTGCAGGGGAAGGGGAGTTCACAGAGGTACTCTGACGAGCGCGTTTGACCCCACGAGCTGAATGAAGTGGTTTCGTCTGGGAGATGGCTTTTCCCGGAGCCGGTAGGGGTGTCCGTGGATTTTGTTGTAGTAAACCGCGGCATTTATCACACACAACTTGGAAAAATCTATGTCGGATGTCAACAGATTTTTGGAAAGCTTTCACGGATAGGCCGATACACGAAATATGAAACAGAACATCACAGCCGAAACAACGAAGTGCATGGGCCGTTTGTCCTACAACTTTCGAACATGAGCCACAAGTAGATTGGCGCGGCATCACACGTTGGAGCAAATCCAAGATGGCGGACGCAGACGGTAATTTGATTTATCAACAAGGTCTCCGAAACAAGTGAGAGAACGCTCACCAAATTTTCACAACTTGAAGACTACACCAAAAAGAAACTTTTTGGTACACAATTTATACAGATGAAACACAAATAACACAGTAATCCAGAAGCGGAAATAGAATCCAGAAGCAACGCTCAACTGGAAATTGTCAGTTTCATCCGTGATTACTTACTACGTAGCTATATAGATAATCTCATCAGTGCTATAATTTAAGGAACTGTTTCAATGAAATTTCGTAACGTATGATGAAGATTCATTTTAGTAAATACACGAATTTCCTTTCGTCTTGTCAATGCTGGTAGTGCTAACTGAGACTTATCTATAATCTTGCACGTGTATAAGGAGACGAAAGCAAAAGCGGATATCTTACCCCTAAGTCCAGGGCAAGCTGAGGCGAGTCGATACTTTTTGAACATTTAGCACCGGTTTAATCCGGCTTATCTCAACAACCTCAGATACCAGGATAGCCAGGAATTGTTGTTGTGCAGCAGAATTTCGAACAATGTGTTGACCACAATCCCGTGATCTAAGGTCAACAAGTATCCATCTGTCTAACATGTCGGTGACTTATGTGAACGAATGGCCTCGCATAGCCATCCTTGTCCCACGACTACGCAAGGGACCTGTTTTAACACATGATCCCCCGTTCTTGAACTCAGATCCCGTTGGTTCTGCCTACTTAACTTGCTCCATGTTTACATACGATGTAGTGCACGCAATCGAAATTGGTCCCGATTGCCTGCGTTTTCTTCAGCGCAAATAGCAGCAGTTTGTGAGTTCGACAGAAACTGGTCCTTGTGACAGGGGTCAGATGCCTGATAGCTTTCAGTATGAAAATGTCACTTTTAAACCGAAACACCATGAGTATGTCCTTGGGTACATTAAGTAACCGAACAGCGAATCCGCTGATTTATCTGTGCATATGGGTGATTCTGTCACTGCAGAAATTTGCATTTAGTATGCTAGTAATCTGCCCATAATTCATCAGCCAGAACATCGGTCGAATAGATTCACTGACAATGCTAAACAAGGCTTTTGCACGCCTCCACATTTATGAGAAGCAAGTGAATCGCAGCTACTCGCTAAATCACGTTGCGTTTCGAAAAGCAGACCATTAACCTGTCTGTTTTCTCTGCGGTAGTCTACTGCCTAAATTTACATGTCTCATTTTCACATTCGCTGCATTCAAGCGCTTCCCTAGCTACGTGATCTGCCACTCTGGTGAATGAAACGCCATGACGTCTGTGGGGTGGTAGCTAAACTAGTTCCTGGGATATACTTGGTTCTGCTATCAGCAAGAATAAAACCACTAGTAAATGCCGCAGTGAATAGTTATGACTAACCAGTTAATTTTACCACGCAGCATATTCCTAAAGTGGAATTCGTCATTCTTCCTTTATAACAGCAATGGTTCCTATAATAATGCAGTCGCATACGAACAAAAATACGAAACTTACGAATAATTCGTTGACGTCACTCGTCTGGTGCAGCGGAACATAAGTAGACAAGGAAAACACCAGTTTATTTAGCACGTTTATTATGTGGAGGTTTCGATAAGTACCAACCAATCTTTGAAATCGTATTGGGGAGACTGAACTTTAGTAGAGAAAGTACTTTCACCATCCAGTAAGCTGGCTTTTTGGGGTGCTTTCTTTCTCGAGAGGATCGGTCTGTGTAGTATTCACCACTTGGCAGCTAATAAAACTGTAATATAGTTAAGCTACTCTGATTAGAACTGTTACAACATTGTCGATGGCAATAATAAAGAAGCGTATTAACTGGGGAATCACGTATAACCCGAACAAAGCTATCTAATGCGCTTTCCCAAATCATTTAAAGTGGTCAGCCATGAAGTATAACCCTCAACTTGGTGTACTCAAATTTCTTCATGAAAGAAAATTATGTTGATGCGCTTGTTATGTGAAAATACCCATATCAACCTAACGATGTGGATTCCCCAACAACCGTGACATAAGTTAGGAACTGATTACTGGATTAAGTTTCGTTGTCTTTCTAGACCGCGGTAGAAACTGTCTTATAGCTAACTCTGTATGTGACTGCACATTTCTTGCGGGGTGTGAAACACATGATTTGCCATTGATCCTGTTGATGCTGTCAGTGCCACACCTCATAGTTTCATGTGTTCTGAGTAGATTACATAAAGAAAGTGGTTAAGTTCACTTCGGCATTGTTCTCCATCTCTGTTGGCTTCTTTATAGGGAAAGCTTTTCTGATTCTACAAACTAACACTAAACCAACTGTCTAATTACAGGATATTTGGCATTCTTCGCAACCGGAGCCCTCAAGGCGGAAGGCGCATGTAAAAGATTGGTCAAAAGGCACAACACGAAGTTAACGAAATGGCAGTGCGTTTCGTCATGACAACTCAGTTACTTGTCGCAGTCGCTAACTTTTTCAAGTTGTATGATTATGTGTTTTCTTCGCCATCTGTACCGCTGTCGCCGACTGGCAACCATAGTGTGGATATTTCCGATGCATATGTGCAATGGTCTCAGTGGCAGCGCAGTCAAGTCATGGGCAAAATACGAAAAAACTCGAGAACTCGCAACACAAGTCGCTCACCGTCCATCTTGACTACGCCCCTACCTATCGTTGGCCTCTTAGAAACGATGGGTACACCCGACTTTGGATCAGAAAGCGAGTATATGTTACATGTCGTGCCACAGAAAGGGCCAGAGCATCAAGACAAAAAACCCACGTTTGCACGCAACGTGGTGCGTCTCCAGGAGAAGGAAACACTTCATTACTCTGATGACGAACCTGGAAACATTGCAACAAATTCAACGAGTACACCGTATTCCACTGCGGGCGCAGTTATATTGGCAATTCTCACTGCATTGGTCAGCTTTATCACCATCGCCGGAAACGTGCTAGTGTTGCTGTCATTTTTTGTGGAACGTGCTCTTAGGACAGCCACCAATTTCTTCATCGCTTCTTTGGCAGTGACAGATGTACTGATAGGTATATTTTCCATGAACTTCTACACCCTCTACTTGCTACTTGGTCGTTGGCCACTCGGCAGACTCTCCTGTGATTTGTGGTTGAGTTTGGATTACACTGCTTGTTTGACTTCACAATACACAGTTCTCATTATCACTGCAGACAGATTTTTCTCCGTTCGTCTTCCTGCAAAGTATCGCAACTGGAGAACAGATCGCAAGGTTATCATAATGGTCGCAGTCACGTGGATTGTGCCCTCATCTGTATTTTTTCCCACTATTATGGCATGGCCATACTTCAATACCAACATGAAGCCACGAGCTCAGGATCAGTGTTATGCCGAATTTGCCAATGATCCCGTGTTCAATACGATTTTCACTGTCTGCTACTTCTGGGTTACTCTGTGCGTAATGATTGGTTTATATGTCGGGATATACCAGGTGGCTGACAAGTTACAGAAACGAAGTGATGAGAAGCGAAATAGAGTTAGCGGTCTTTTCGCGAACCCTGTTAGATCGGTAACACCAGGCACAACAAAAACTAGCTCTGGTGCATCAGCAGGCAACTACGTGAGTTACTCATCAGCAAGACAGAATGTGCCACATAGTAGTAGCAGTCTGGTGGGTGCAAACGATTCCTCTGGCTTCGATTCGGAGGAAGAAACTCGGAAGCAACCGACTAGATTGAATAAGGGACTAAAATCACTTACGAAACAAGTAAGCACAACGACGACTGTTTTGACCACATCGCCGAACGCTCAACTAACAACTTCCGTGCGAAAGCTACATAACGGTGATGGAAAGAAAGTGTCTTCGGATTTTGTTGATTCTCATAAGATCACAGCACAGCCGAAAGCCGAAATAAAGGCAAACACTGATGAGTACCCTGCCACTGTGCCTGAACCTGCGCCACAGCTAGTGTCAGCTGCCTATATGAAGACATCTGTGACAAGGACTAACCAGACGGAATCCGAGTGTCCACTGCATGGAAAGTATCCTGGTTCTACAATTGCCAATAACCCCAATGAGAATAATGGTTACACCCCCTCCTCTGTGGTAATGGACGAAGCAGATAGATTACACATAAGTTCACCTGTATTGACAGACGACGACAGCGGATTGGAAGTGACTGATGGTCCACAATCCCATTTACGGCGCATTTATTTCCCCCCATCTCCACCATTGTGTATATGTGCCGATCTAGAGGAAGAGCAAGCAGCAGAGTCGGCGCCGTATCTAAGTAGTGTTGTTGACAGTTCCAGTGCGAAAGATCAAGAAGGACATCCAGATAATTCTTGTGAGCATGTAAACAATCAAACGGAAACTGCCATTTGGGTAGGAACCAGTCACGAAACGTTATCCAATCCCGAGACAACTGCATCACGAATACCCCCTGTAAAGCCGTCAGTTGATCCGGGCTATCACGATAGAGTGATGGAGGCCTATCGGAGGCGCATGGCTGCCAACAATCTCGTTACCTCTGCTGAAAGTCAGGATTCAGATTATGTGACCTCAAGTAACTTGTCCAACCAGCCGCTGACGAGTATGTGTAAAACTTTACACTCCCCGCAAAGAAACACTAGTATACGAAAAGGATCGACAGGAAATACGATTAACGAACCTGTCCCCAACCATAAGTCGAAAAGGGAAGTTAGGTGTTCTACCTCGTGTAACGGAAAAATGTGTGCACACGAGTCTTCATCACTTAACTGTTTGGTCGTCAACCAGACGGGCAAAGTGAGCGATCAGTCACCTATTTGGAAACCCCAGCTGTATTCGGAAATAGACACTTTTAGTACCACTTGCTCGTTGCATGGTTTAGTTTGCTATGATCAGCCGGTGATATCGGGATGCTATGAAACTAAGAATGAATGTGTTTATTGTTCCCGTCAGCCGGACTCCGATACCATACATTCAAGCTCTAGTTATGCTGATTACGTTGGTCCAAACTTGGTCGAACGAAGATGTTGTGGATGTTCCATTGGACTAAGTGAAGCAAGTCAAAAGCCGGTAGCAAAGAAGAAAATACTCAACCCTTCCATCTTCCTGTTGAAGATCCGGAACTTTCATCGTATTTCTCTAAGTACACTGAAGAAAACGTTGCTACTTCGTAAGACGAAAGTACCAATTGAACGTGGAAGACGAGAGAATAGAGCCAGAAAAGCGCTACGTACCATCACTTTCATTTTGGGTGCTTTCGTACTCTGCTGGACCCCATACCATGTTGTAATCATAATAAAAGGAATATGTGACGATGTCTTTCGCAAGCGTACCTGTGTCAACGAAATATTTTACAGTGTCACCTACTGGCTTTGTTACATGAATTCCCCGATAAATCCCTTTTGTTATGCACTAGCCAACGCTCAGTTCAAAAAAACCTTCCTTCGAATATTTCATGGCGATTTGCGGAGAACGTAAATGTAACGAAATTGCGCACTGACTATGTTTCTTTGCCTGTACTCCTCTCTTGATCCATCCTGTCCATACGGTTTTCACATTTGAAGGAAATTAACTGAAAAACAAGTTGTCATTATATCTAAAACCCGATAAAACAGTCACATCTTTCAAAACCTTATTCTTTGACTGGCGAAATCCCTTAAAATGGAGTGGAGAAAGGTAAGATTTTGTTTGCATTTTCCATGGCGACCTGTCGCATCCGCACTCAATCAAATGACTTGTCTGTCTGCGGCGACGCTTCATGGAACAGCACCTTTTGCCTATATGCTTTGAGTAGTTAAACAAGGTTTAAAACTGTTCACATTTGTGGAAACAGATGCAAAAATAATCCGAAATTAACGTGATGTATTGTGCGCTGAACAATTCGAAGCTCAGAACTTGAATGCTTAGCAGTGTTCAATCCTTAGTTCGCTTTAAAATATTTCAATCCCAAATATTTCGTTAGCATTTTTCTTCGGACAAAGAATCGCCAATAGACTGGTTCACGCACGGATATTGAAAGATGACGAAAGTACAACTATCAAAGTTCCATTAATTGTCTGCTAATAATCCTGCATGCCGCATTCTTTCGGCATCAGCATGACAAGACAGGCAAATGTTAAAGACTGTCGTCCCTATAGGAATACACAAAAACCTTCCTTTTTCAATCTGGTGCATGCAGAAGACGAAAAACAGCCAATAATCAAAAGCCACTGCATCAGTAGCAGATTCTGTATAGCATGGGGCTATATTAGTGCTTGTGGAGGGTCAAAGTGTTCGTTTTATCGGAACAGCTGTTTCGTTTTTTAAGTTCATTAGGTAACCCCGATTCGCCTTCGTTTTATCATATATTTGTAACTCTAGCCTGCGGTAGAGGACACCAGTTACGTTGGACCAGGTTGGATCACCCGCCAGGAATATATTAGGTTGTCCCGAAAGCAGTCGAAATTTTTAGCACATTTGTTCAATGAATATTTATTTCAGAAAGACAACAATATTTAATCAACGTATCATCGATTGTTATCGACGACGTACTGTTCAGGCAAGTTGTCGATGCCTGTCTCATAGAACGAGCTGGGCTGTCTTTCAAACTATTGGGCAAGGTATGTTTCGATATAGTTGCGGTCATGGAATTTCTTGTCCTTCATGTGACTTTGCAGCGAGCGCAAAAGGTGGTACTCAGTAGGAGCAAGGTCCGGACTATTCGCTGGATGCATATGGGTTTCGATATCAAGCTGCTGAATTTTAAGATGTGTCATCTTTGCCACATGATAACATGCGTTGTTTTGCAGGAGAATGATTCGGGTCTCTTTTGGACTATTTTTCGTTGTCCGTCTACCATATTTTGCAGTTGTTGACAGTAAACATCGGCAGTAACAGTGGACTTGTCAGGTAACAATTTCCAATGGATAACCTCGCGGCGATCCCACAAGGCCGACAGCAGCACTTTTTGCCGTGCAGCTCTCCTTTCGGGACCTGTGCTAACGTTTCCCCTGCTGCCATCCTCTGATGCTTTCAGCTGTGCATGACATAAGACACCCACTTCTCGTCTCTAGTAACGATATCTTTCAGCCATCGATGATTGCGTCCTCAGGTGAGCAATGAAAGTGTGATAGCACAACGGTTCAAAAGCTGCTCATCAGTCAATTTGTGTGGTACAAGTTGTCCGAGCTTTGTGAGCATTCCGGATTGACACAGATGGCGATGAACAGTGGCTTTTGGAAGGCCAAGTTGTGACGAGACTTCATACACACTTTGACTCGAATCCTCCCTTAGAGCGTCCTGGTTGGTGCTGTCAATGTCCACCGACATACGTCCTTGACCTCCGAGGTTGGACAAATCATACTTCCCTACTTTAAATCGGCGGAACCAAACTGTCACTATATCGTAACTTGGAACATACTTGCCTAGTACATCACGCACGTTTCGACAAGCTCCGATTGCTTTGCGCCCTTGTACGTACTCGTACAATAATCATCCGCGAACAGAATGTTGATCATTAACCAATACCGTAGACCCTGCTAAAATGTAGAATAAATGGACGACGTTAGATTACTGCTGCGTTGTGTCCCTGTATACACCCATATAAAAGAATCTTCCAGAAGCTTCCAGAAAAACCTGGAATATAATGCAAAAATTTGCTTGATTTCGGGACAACCTAATAGAAGTGAAGAAGCGTATAAAAATTTCATCCCATGTCTAGAATAACACGTCGTTCTGAAATGTGGATTACCCACTTCGTAGTTGAAAGATAACAGCAGCCTGCCGATTAATTCAAGCCATCGAACAACAAACAACTTTTACCCGAGTGTCGGACGCAATGCGGTAGACCTTACGCCACTGGTCGCTTACAGCACAGCGTGTCAGCTTTGCGGTGATGATCACGTGGTTACTCGCAGTACGGAAAGAATTCCCACGTTAAGATTAAAGTAATTAACAGCAACCAAACACTATGTTTTGGTTCTAAACTAGTTAAGCCGCTGCCGGCTAAGCTCCTACTCGCGGTTGCTTGATTGGTTTATATTTGAAACTAAAAGGTAAATAATTCAGTAGTTTAATCCGGACAATAATTTACATACGCAAGCGACTAGCAACCAAGCGATACTCGTTTTAGTAACGAAAACAAATGACCTACAAGATTTACAACCACCATCCTGATTGTGTCTTATGTAACTGAAGCCCGTCTTCAGCTAAGCAAGTAGCTTCACCCCTCAGTATCATGCTTAACCTATTGAACTGTATAGAAAACACTTTTGCTATGTTATTCCGAGAGAGGTGGTCATCATTTCGGAAGTAAGCTATTGCACGACAGTCTCGACACTTGTTCCACCTCAGCTAAAAGATGCAGTTCATCGTGAATTGAACTGACTCTTTTGCTTTTCAAACACGGAACTTGAAATGGGGGAAACGGAACAATGGATGCAACCACCTACTTCAGAGCAACTACCGTGTGGAAATCTTATACTTGACCCTGTGTTGACAACTCAATAAAGCTGGTGCGTATACTTCGAAAGAATGAACAATATTTTTCTCTGCTTCCGACAACACAAAATGCCAAATTTGAAAGAGAATGGATGTTAGCATACATTGCCCATAAGTCGACGATTGGCAGATGCTTCACGTTGTTGGACTAATGCCATTGTTCTGATCCGCATATCAGATGTGGCGACGATAGGACGGGGAAGGTGAGGGTAACACAGACATGAGTGGAGTGAAAACATACGGAAGCAACTGAAAATTTCGACCAGAGCGACATAATATTATCGACCGACATTAGATATGTTATTCTACAGTAGTATTTCTTAACTGAGTGGGCTTTAGGAAAAGGTTATCGATATTGGTGAACACATGTGATTATGCCGTATTTTAGATGATAAATGACTTCAATGTCCAGAAGTAACTCAGCACATTCAGAGGAACTATTCTGTTATCACAATAAAGTAATAAATTAATTGTCCCTTGGATCGTCTAAGGACCCGCCGTAGCTCCACGTCCGATGCGCCAACTTGCGCTACCAAGAAGGAAAAATCAATATCTTATAGTCACGAGCAGTGTCACTGCAGATAACCAACGTTGGAACTAATCTCTTGTGACCACACGGCATAATCCTTGGTGCAGGAAAGAACAGAACAATGGAACCGTATTTCGCTTATTCTACTGACCGTACATAAATGATACCATGGGTCTTTCTTGTGTACAAGTTAACCAAAGCAGTCAGTGTGTCAGCATCAGTTGATCTTAGGCTGTTCTGTTGCAACAGTGCACGTGTTTGATCTGAAGAACAAATCTGGACTTATGATGAATCTTTCGGTTCAGTGCTTCCCAAATATCCGCTGAAAATGGAACGGTAGCCTGACATATATATAACAGAAACATTTCTTGAATTCATACCAGACGCAGTCCAAGTCAATGATAAAAATAGGGTAAAGCATGGAAAAGCGTGACGTCGCTTCCTTGGGTACTGTTCTTCAGCAACGTCAGGGAGCCATTGATTCTCCAGTCTTGGTAAGCATTAAGATAGCGGCTCTGACACATTTATTTCGATGGTGCACTGCGAGGGAGGCGATGACTAGCTTATTCGCTTAGCAGTACATGACATTAACATCCTCTGTTCATTGGCATGCTAATAATAGTTAACAAATATCACCAGACCAGTTTTCACACAGATCCGAAAGAACACCTCACTCTAGAGGCATGTTCGTTGTCAGTCTGAGGTATACTTGGTCTCATTGAAACTTCAATTCGCTGCGCAAATAAGTTCAGAATTGAACCACGAGTGAAAGCTACCTAACTTTAAAAAACTTCCGCGCCCTTAACGAGGGATGTAGGACCGACGTCGGAAGAGAAGCAAACGTGGCTAGGAGGTGATTGACCGCTTGCCAGAATGTAATCGGAGACAGAAGAATTGTGCCTATGTGTGTCCCTGTTCACTTGCGTAGTGCACGGTGATGGTGGCCACTACTGACGCGCGATAGAATTATTTTGATGTTGTCTTAGATGATGGACACAGAAGACAAATGTCAACTAACCAGAGTGCAACAACAGAAAGCAGCTGCGGTCTCCTTCAAAAGTCTCCAGTGAGACAACACATCAACCGGGGAGCATTAACCATACACATTGAGAGAATAAGTGGATAAACGAAACGCATAACGATCAATGCGTCTCCGTACGAGGCTTCGATTACCACAATCATTTAAACAATCATCGAAATAATTTGCCCCACTTAGTTGTGAAGTTAGCGGTGGTGTGAATGCCGCTAATATTATTCAAAAATAGCTTTTTCCACTAATCTTCGTGGCCCGTGGATTGTCATCGACAAATTTAAAAACTTGGACAAACAGGCACATACTGCCTACTGGTGTGTCTTAGTGAGTATTTTTTGTTACGAATTTTCAGGAGCCATGAAAGTAAGATTTTTACTTGTACTGACAAGTGACTGTCGTCCAGTTGCTCGCTATCCAGTAAGAAAAGAATGCCGCGCATTGTGAATCGAAGCAAATGACTAATTGCAGAAATTGCTCAAACATCATGCAAGTTTGAGTAAAGAAGCAATCAGCTGGCTTTTCAGTCCGAAATAACGATCGGCGCCCCCAACCACAACATGCAGACAAGTGTTAATGAGCAAAGCGA